GATAATAGCGGCGATGAAACTTGGACTCCTTCTGCGTTAATCAATCCAGATGATTCTGTTCTGAACCCAAAGAAACGTTCGAAATCCTTTTTGGCCAATTACTCTCAGCATGTTTCCGCTAAAAAGAGTAAACAAGATCAGAACGAAGACAAAAAAAAGAACAAAGAAGCAGACGGAAGTGCGAAGATCGGAAGAAGAAAAATTGCATGTCCATTGCCACCATGTAAGGCTTCAGTAGTGCATCTCCCACGACACATGCGTAACGTCCATCACTGGACCAAAGAGGCAGCCAGTAAAGTTTTGTCTAAGTTCAACAAGCGCAAACAGAAAGATAAAAATCTGAAAAAAGAAGATTAGCATCCACGTCGTCGTTGTCCACTTAAAGACTGTCATTTCATTGTCCAAAGATTGTGGGCTCATTTGCAGAAAGTCCACAATTTGGACCAATCCTCAGACGAGTATATTGGTGCTTTGCAAAGTGGAGTGATTGTGCCAGAACATTGTACCATACAATGGCACGAAGATCAACTGGTGACTGACGAATCGGGTTCTGAAAATAAAACAAGATCAGATACAATAATAAACGATATCCATCCTTTGCATGATGAAGACAATAGTGATTCTGATAACAGGAGCGATGATGATGTAGTAACGTTAAGCGAAAGAGCAAATATTATTCCCTCAAGGGTTGGAATACGCGGCCTTCTTGTCGAATTCGAGGATTGGTTACTATCACCAGATGCAGGGAAAAGAGATGGAAAAACTGCTAAGCAGCATGGTGCTCAACTATATGCTATCCTTAAAGCAATTGACAATGAAGAGGATGTGAACTCTCTGCTCGATATCAAGCTTATTCGTATTGCATTCCTTAAAAAGCACGTGAAAGATAAAGGCTATGAAGCTGCAACTATAAAGTCCTACTTAATGAGCCTCCGCCATTTTTACAGATTTCTTATTTCTGACAAACCGGATGGTATTGAATTCGATGTCAACGAAGTAAATGCTTCTCGCGAAAAGGTGGAAATGTAGTCTACATCTTATAAAAAAGAGACGAACACTCGAAAATGGCAAAAACTAGAAGAGGACACCATGAATCGATTGACTCCAGCAAATATCCGTAATTTCGAGAAAAGCGACAGTACCAGAGAGGCAATCAAGATTCTTGGCAAACACTCGGACCCCACCCACACAACCATAGTTACCCAACAAAATTACACCTTGGTTCGCGATTTTCTTTTTACGCAGGTGTTCATAGAAAATGCTAATCGCCCTGGCGTTTTGGCTAAAATGACCATGCAAGAATACAGAAAAATGTCTTTCCAAGATGATCACTTTGTTATCTTGGTGATGAAACATAAAACTGCTCATGTACACGGCCCAGCTCGCATAGTTTTAAATGCTAAGTTGAAGTCGTGGTTGTCCATATTCGTGAACTACATGCGCACGCAAATTACTTCGGCAACTAATGGAAACGTTTTCCTTTCTTGGAATGGGAATGAAATGGAGTCAAGTCATATCACCAAAGCAGTTCAGTCGGTTTTCAAGAAGAGCGGAGTGGGGGTGAAAGTCACATCAACGTCTTTCCGGAAAGCTGCTGTAACCGAAGTGCATGCTGAAAACACAGAGCTAAGTGCAAAACTAGTACGCCACATGGCTCACAACGAGTCCACTGCCCGAAAATATTACCTTCTAGCAGAAAAATCCAAAGAATCAATCGAAGCCTCTAAGAAGCTTGGACAACTCATGAGGCGTGAAGACGAACAAAGTCAACTAACATCCAAAATCAGCAACAACAACCTATCAGAGCATGATATGTTTTAAATAGAATCTCCAATTGCACCAGAAACGGATAAAAGAGTTCTATGGAACGAGAACGATTTGGCCATGATAAAAGAAGTGTTTGTAGAAGAGTTATCGGGAAAAAATATTACTTTGGATCAAGTTCAATCAAACAATCGTCACAAGAGCCTTTACCTGACTGGCCTGATGCCACAGAATCTCCAGAAGTTAAGGTAACACGCTTAACAGAAGAAAACGCCACCGAGGAAAGCTAGTCACTTAGTATTATAGCACCAACGGAAAGAACTAATACATTTACACAAGACGACGTTGTTATATTGCAAGAATTGTTCAGGGATATGATAACAGCTAATGAAAAGATTAGTCGAGTTGAGATCGAAAAACGTTGTGCTTCATCACAAGATGGGAAGAAAATACTAACGAAAGTATCAGTGGTTCAGGTCATGAACCAAGTTAAGTATGAAAGGCGAAGAAACAACAAGACGTGTTTAGAACTTCCATCCTTATGTACTAAATAGACTTTGTTTTCTGTTGTCGCCATGACGATGTTTGCAATTCAATGGTACGTGTGGAGCATTATATGTATACGGTTGTCTATGCATATGAAGACCGTATAACATTTATATAGACTTTTATATAGACTTGTTTGTTCATTGAGCTGATATATTAAAAGTCAAATAAACAGTACAGTTTTTATTCTCTTTTCCAATATGAGCAATGCGAGTATCAAAATATGAAATAAACTGTGAACGATAATCGATACGTCAGTAGCATTTGAAAATGATTGCAGATTTCAAAACATATGCATGAAACAGAGAAACAGGGACGTGCGCAGGATATTTTGTGGGGCAGTAAGGTAAAAATTATGAAACACACGCACTCAAACAACCATTTGAAAGGAATTTCATTTACCAAAATATGTGATATAAAGCCAATGTTTCATTCAGCGGTACTGTTGCAGAAAAATATAGGTGTTATCATTTCAGCTTATTTGCTGTTCAAAAGGTTTGCGCACGGGTAAAAATCATGTTGATGCAAGTTGTTCAAAACAGGAGTGACCAATGTTATGCTGCACCAAGTAAGCAGCATTGGCAAAAATGGCTGTTGAACCATCAATACTGTTGCAACTTGTTGGCAATCATGTCAACAAGTTGCAACAACATGATGATGCAAAAAGGATCAACAACAATGTTAACAATACTATAGTTCATGGGGTGCCCACAATGGATTTGCGTAATAATTGTAGATTATACAAGGGCTGCTTGCAGCCTGAGGTGTAATATCAATTATATGAGAAATACGAGGCGAGATTTAACAATGCAATGTCTCTTTATTCACTCCAAAATACAGTGTTTAAAAGTAAACTATTAACATAACATCAAGTAACTAAATGTCTAACATAACACCGCTGGCTGAACCTTGGGCTTTGTCTTTGGAATGAACGACGTACCTGAAAATAACAAAATAACAATGCAACATAGAAGGGTGGGATATAAGGGTGGGATTGCATTGTTAAATCTCGCCTCGTATTTCTCGTATAATTAATATTACACTTCAGGCTGCAAGCAGCCCTTGTATAATCTACAATTATACTTCAAAATACTCGGCTCAATTTAACAATGCATGTTCAAAGCCGTTTATGTGTTAGCTGACAAGACAGCCCTAGCTGGAGCGGTATAAAACTGTGGGCGATAATAGAATTTGATAAAAGTATTTTGTTGAGACCACTCTGCAAATTGCAAAATCTCGGCTATCGAAAAGCCTTGTTTAGCTGCTTCGGTAGTGACAGCCCCGCGAAAGGAATGTCCCTTAAAAGTATTATTATCAACACGGGCTAGATGTAGGAATTCTTTCAACCACCTTGCTACAGTTGCAGAGGTAACTGCTTTGTGAGGATAAATGTAAGACGGCAATAACTTGTTGGGTTTTGATGAGTCAGTTGATCTCCATGCTGCTGTACGATTCTCATATTCAACGAGACATTTGCATACACATAAAAGGTCATTGTCGGGAAAACTGGCATGAAAGCAACATTTTAAGCTTTCGCCCGATTTTGTATTTTTCGTTAGGTCAGGTAGTTTAAATTCAACGCCTTCGGGGTGCATGTACCTGAACCGTAAATCCCTGGCTGCAAGCCCCGAAGCTCTATCGGGAGCAGTTAGGGCTAGCAGGCCTACTAGTTTGTAGGTTAATATTTTGACAGAGAGTTGGTCATTAGGTCCCAACGAGCTGATGTACTGTACTAGCTTAATGACTCGCCATGTTTGAGTGTAGCGTGGCTGGGGTGGACGAAGGTTATACACCCCTTTTAGTAACTGGGTAACCAAAGGATGGGAACCCACTTTGTGGCCATCTATTAGAGGTAAACATGCGGAGAGCGCAGACCGGTAAACATTAATAGACAGATACTCCCTCCCTTCGTGGAACTGTGTTGTGAAAAAATCTAAGATGTCATTGATAGATGCTGAAAGGGGATTGATAGTGACCCTTTCAGCACACCAGCTACTCCACTTGTTCCATGCAGAGGAATAGGAGCTAGTGGTGTTTTTTCTCCAAGCCGCCAAGAGAATCTTTCTAGTTTGATCCGAAATTCCTCCTGTTTGGTAGCCACTGTTGATAGTAGCCACCCAGCTAGCTGGAGTTGATCCAAAGGGTGGTTGTTGCCCCTCTGGGTTAACAGATCTCCCTGATTCGGTAGAAGAAGGGGGAAGTCTATGCACAGTTCCAGTAAGAGGGGGTACCAAGCTTGGGTTGACCAAACTGGTGCCACTAGCACAAGGTGTTCTACTTTCTGGCTCTGGATTTGATGTAGACACCGACAGATCATCGCAAATGGGGGGAATGCATAGCCCCGAAATGTCGCCCAGTTGAGGGTGAACGCATCCGTATGCACTGCCGAAGGGTCTGGTCTCCAGCTCACATAATGGTCCAACTGGAATGTCAGGCGGGATGCGAAAAGGTCGATGTCCAGAGGTCCCCACCTCTGATACAGGCTGTTGAAAACAGTTTGGTTCAGTTTCCAATCGCTGGAGTCTAGGAAAATCCTCGACTCTCGGTCGGCGTGTACATTCTCTATCCCTGGAATATATTGGGCTGAAAGTAGCACATTGTGACTGAGACACCAGTCCCACAGGTTCTTGGCTAGTTGAGACAGAAGGCGAGAGTGAGTGCCCCCCATCTTGTTTATGTAGGTCACCGCTGTGACATTGTCCATTAGCAGGAGTACCTGGGCTGATGCCCTGGATTTGGTAAAGCATTTGACTGCTAAGGATCCTGCTAGGAGTTCTAGGCAATTTATGTGGAGACTGCTCTCCTGTAGCGACCACCTCCCCCTGTTGACACTCCTTGGCAATGGGCCCCCCACCCCTGGAGGGAAGCATCGGTTTCTATTGTTAAATCTGTTGATTGTTGGAGCAGGGCCTTCCCGTTCCATGCAACAAGATTGTTCTTCCACCACTGGACCTCCTGAAGGGCCTCTGAATCTAGGTTGACCAGAGCTTCGTAAGATTTCTGTCTTTTCAGAACCGAATTCTTGGCTTGCTGGAGGTATCGATAATGCAGTGGGGCCGGAAATACTGCCTGAATTGACGAAGATAGTAGGCCCAGGAATTTTGACAATTCCCGCACTGAGGTTACAGGGTTGTTTAAGAGTTGTTGACAGTTTTGAAGGACCTTCTTTATTTTGTCCTTTGGGAGACTCAAACTCATGCTGGCCGAATTTACTAAGAACCCCAGAAACTCGATCTGTTGGGATGGAATTAATTGCGACTTTTGGTAGTTTACCACAAACCCAAGTCCCTCCAAAAGATTGAGTGTTGTCGCTGCATGCTGTAGGGTAAGTTGCCTGCATTCTGCCATTATGAGAAAGTCGTCCAGATAAGCCATGAGTCGAATGCCCCTCTGACGTAAAACTGACAGAACTGGTTTCATAAGCTTTGTGAACACCCGTGGGGCACTTGCAAGGCCGAATGGAAGGCATGCAAACTCCAGAAGTGAGTCCCTCCAAAGAAAGCGGAGGTACTTCTGGTGGTCCCTCCAGACAGGTACTGTCAGGTATGCATCCTTCAAGTCTATTTTCACTAAACTAGAAATACATGCATGCAGCAACCCCTCGCTATTTCAAACCAAGTACACAATTTCCTGAGTAAACCTGACCTAAACTTATTATATGAAATGACACAAAACTCAAATCAGTCTTAAAGTTTCCATCATTCAATACAAAAATAATCACAAAGCTAGTGTAAACATTGCCCGTTCAATTTTGCTGCATTATACCATGCCAGCAATTAAGTAACGGTTTAAAATCGAAGTTTCAAACGATTAAAACAGTACAAAATCTTCACAGACAAAGAAAAAACTTCAAATGTTATTTTATTCTGTAATTGAAGTCAACGCCGGCGGCTAAAAGTTTCAGTATACTTTATAAATATAGTTTGTATTTTTGATACCAAAATTCAAATTACACTTTCAAAAACACTTTTTGAAGTTAAAGCAAAGGTGTAATAGCCCTTCACAGGTTTATGCGTTTGCAGAAAAAGTTGAAAATTTAACAAACGAACGGCAAACAAAGCTGAAAAGTATGCAAATACGGCTCATTCTTACCGCGAAACAAGTACGAGATAAACAAAGTAAACACGTACCCTTTGTCTTTGAAAACATTTATAAGCTTGCAGATTATGAATTATTCCTCTTACACGGCTTTGTTTTGACTGTATCCACGTTCATCTTTGCTATCTGTCATGCTTCATATATCTTGTTTCTTCTCGTTTTACTTTCTTTGCACAAAGTTTAAGAAACGCTTTTACAAAAATGTTTACGAAATGAGAGTTAAATTGCTGATGTTCTCATTGAATTACAAACTTTCTGTCTTAGCTAATCAGAACGTTCGTTGAATACCAGTCTACACTCGTTCGCATTTAACGCATGCGCACAAGTACCATGACCATTGAACGTCCACGGTCCACGACATAGAACTTGAGCAACTTTGGATTCCGCTATGTTCTGTCACAATACCCGGGTGTAATAAATCTCCCAGCGGAATTAGTACCCTCGCACGGCGCTTCGCGCCGGCTCGGGGATAATCTCCTTTTCTTAGCAGGTCCTTTAACATATGTATTGATTCCATTTTGAAATGCTCGTAAGGTATAAAATTGCTTAGGGGCTTTAGGTTTATAACTGGCCTGTGCCCCCCCCCTTTTTGGGCACTACAAACAGGGAACTGACAAACCCCATATTGTTCACTGTGCTGTCTGAAATATAATGAACTGCCTGTTTTGTTAGCAGGTCCTGAACTTCCTGGTCTATCAAGAGTTGATCCTCCTGAGGAATATGACCAGTTATGGGGAATTTCATTTGGACAGGATTGGAAGTGAATTGTATTTGGTAGCCTTGGGCTACTTGCATGACCCAAGGGTCGCTTGTTATTTGCTGCCATGCCTTTAAAAAATATTTTAGCCGACCTGCTACTGGTTGGTTGCAAAAACTTATAAGATTTTGAAACATAACTGGTGGCAAATGACGTGGGCGTTGTGGTGTTACTGTTTTTGGTTGAACTGTCGAGGGGAACTGAATGTGTGTGCTCTGCCTCGACCTCTGAAGTTGTTGGGTGGGAATTGGTTCTCTCGCATTGAATGAAAGAAGCTTGGGCGTGTCTGACTTCTGCCACCCCGGAAACGCCCTTGAAATCGCTGGGGGGCAGCCCTTGGAAAAAACGGTCGTCCCGTTTTCTTCGCCTGAGCGACAGTGCTGGCTGTCTCTGTGCGGAGCTTCAGTCTGGATTCAAACCCCTGACCAAATAACTCCTTTTCCGCCTCAGGGAAATCTTCTTTGCCCAGTGATGTGAGATACGGGTTAAGTTTGGATAAAACCTGTTCCCGGCGTTTTGCTGACAATTGAGCACAGGTATCCCCCACTAGAAGGATAGCTTTCTTTATACAATTAAACATTGCAGAAACTGAGGCTTTATCCAAGGTAATGTTATCTTCGGTAGATGATTCATGTAGGAGATTAATGTTCTCATATAATGTGCACAACGGGCCCAAAATGTCAAGAACCTTGTCTTGCGTTTCTCTGGTCGATGTGTCTGACGTTTTAACACCGCTGATCACAGATGGTAGATAACTATCTAGACTTGGAGTCCATGCTGCATCACTAACGGGTCTGGGGAATTCACGAATGATTGCCCGGCGATCAAAACGGGGCAATGGTTTGAGCATAATGTTAAGCAAAGCGTCAAGTTCTTCAGACTGTAGACTGTACTGATTCGACAGCACTAGCAAAGGTGCCGTCCAGTTCCCCTTGATCAGGCGGAGTATGATCATCGTTCTGCGACTGTGTGAGGTCGACTGTATCTGAGAATTTTCCCTTGTTATTTCTCTGCGCCGTTTGGTCCAATGACACTCCGGTGAGATTATTTGCCAGCTGGCCTATAGGCGCTGCGACATTTTCTTCGTATGTATTTTGTCCGAAAATGTGCTCTGACAATCTTGGCTGAATTTTGGCTAAAATTGCTTGTGAAAGAGTGGCAAGAACGATTTGGTCAGCCACAAGTGTCTCAACCATCGATTTCGCCGAAGATGGTTCAACGATACTTACGTCGTCCGCAGGATTAACTTGGATTGCTTGAATTTCGTCTGTAGGATTTTCTGAACCAGCCATCTTGGACGAGGAGTGAATGAAAAAGACAAAGCCAAAGGTTCAGCCAGCGGTGTTATTTTAGACATTTAGTTACTTGATGTTATGTTAATAGTTTACTTTTAAACACTGTATTTTGGAGTGAATAAAGAGATATTGCATTGTTAAATTAAGCCGAGTATTTTGAAGTATAATTCAGTAATTTAAATAAATATGACGTCACAATTCACAACACGTTGCGGATTTTTTAGCTTGAAAACGCTCACTCGTCACCAGTTCCCTGATTGCATATTTATAAGCGCAGTCAATTATATTGTGCAATCGTCTGATTCATACTTTAACACAAAAGATCGGTATTTTACGTTTTATGGCCGGAAAGAATCGTCTTTGTTGGCATGGTAACTAAAGAAGGGATCTTCGGCTGTCTGTTGAGCTTAATTTGGTTGCATTTCTACGTTTAGTGATGGCTTTATCGGCGTTTATGTTAAGGTATGTTTGAGCAACAACGGCTCTCTAAAATTATTACGTTTGCGTGTTCATCTATTACTCTTTATTCATAAAGTTTTCTTAAAATCTAAAACGAGAGGATTTTAGAACAAAATCTGAGCTTTCCAAAGATGTATAATACAGGCTGTTGTTTTGTAATTGCAGGATTTTCAACCAGGCTGCTTTCCCATATATAGAGTATTTCAATTATTTGAATGTATGTCATGGAGACAATTAATCTTAAATCATGTCTAAGCGTAAACAGCACTTCGATATTGGTGCCTGGGCAAGAGAAAATAAGGCGAAACGACAAGAAATCGTCGCAAATAACCGTACGATTTCGGATTTGAAAGATTGTATTCAAGCAAGTGAGAGAGAAATTAAAGATCTCAAGAGGAAGGTAGCTACATTTTAAAGTGTTTGTCTTATAAAGTCTGGTGTTCTTAATAGATGCTCAATTAATTTTCATTGTTGATGTGTTTGCACACCAGAAGGTTTATATTTGGTTTTCATATTTGGTTTATATTATATTTTTTGGTATGAAAGAGCCTGTGATAATTTGATATCACTTGAAATTTTGAGGAATTCTGCATATGTAGTCCCTAGTTTTGAATATTTTGGTGTATTTGGAAGTTTGGGAACTTTCCTGAGGCTCATGTGTGCTTATGTATGTTCATTTTATAGAGGGGACTGTTAGTAAATGAAAAAGTCAAGCTCCCACATCATTCCCATCCAAAGACTTCATCAGTTGTTAACCAAACCTGTAGCGAGAAGCTTGATCTTCCTGAGAGTACAGCACGAAAAAGAAGGAGGTTGATGTTTGATCAAGCAGAAAGAATAAATGCTAAGTCTTCTGATGATAAGAGCTTGAAAAGGAAGTCTGCTTTGGATGGCTTATGGAGTACTTTAATTAATTCCACTACAGCACATGAGATGAGATCGTACATGGAAAAATCTCCATTGGTTATTTCAAATGTTATTCCCTCTATCATTAATGAATCAGTGGTTAAATATGAGCACAGCCAAAAGAACCTGGTGCGGTCACTAGGAGTTCTCTATGAAGGTGGTGTTTCCAGCAAAAACAATACAACAGGAAGCGAAGTCGAGAAGTATTTGAAACTGATGATCATGGTAAGAAGCACCAAATTACATACATGAAAGGATGCAAAGTTCCCAAGCTTATGGAATACAAAAAAGTGAGGCGCTTTGTAAATTCTGTTGACATTGGCGAACTGAAAGAGATTCCAAGAGCCAACCATTCAGCTCTTGACAAACAGCAACAATCTGACGATGAAAGCAGTGGTGAGCATGCTGTGTCAGGTTGTTATAGAGAGTTAGAGTCCTTCCTACTTAAGATAGCTAGCCTGTATTTAGTTCTAGATAATGCACAACCTGGGTTTCTTAATTGGTTTGGTTTACGTAAAGGCATGTTTCAGGTATCAATAGGAGCAGATGGGGCCCCATTTGGTAAATATAACCAGGCAACAGCTTGGCTTGTTTCATTTTTAAATGTCGCTGATAGAGTCGCAAGCTGTGATGAAAACTACTTAATATGTGGGGCAAATTGCTCAGAAGAGCACCAATCAATGATTGAGTATGGTAAGTTACTTAGAAAAGAGATGGAAATTATTGAAAAGAAAACATACCTCATTGAGGGAATTTCCATCTCTTTTTCATTTGAGTTATTGCCAGCAGATATGAAGTGGTTAGCATTTATCTCTGGGGAGCTTCCTAACTCAGCCACCTATTTTTCTTCATTTGCCAACGTTTCGGAATCCGAAAAGAGTCAAATGGGTAAAACTTTTGGGTCAACTAGTGATGATTATTTTCAACCATGGGACTACCAAAAACGTTTGGAGGTTGTAAAACGTGTTGAAAAGTACAAGAGTAAGCTTACCCAAAAGCAGCTAGTTGGCCGCACTAAGGTAACTCAATTCATTGCAAGTCAAAAATCTCGACAAGAATTTGAACCTATTTTGGGGCCTTTTATAGACAAGGCTGTTGTAGAACCATTACATCTGGCAAACAATAATTGGCAATTTTTGTTCACAGAATTGTTCGAATATGTTTTGTACTCAAAAACAGTAATTCCATGTAGTGCCAAAAAAATAACAGATTTACCAAAGAGCTGCTGTTTGAGAAAGTTTTTGTCATGTTTAAAAAAGAAAGTAAAAGCAAATAGGCTGTATAACTCAATTCTTCGGTGGTTTAGAGAAGGTCGTAAAACTGGCAATGCTTTTCACTTCAGATTCACTGGTCAAGAAACCAGGTTGATGTGTAATGGTTTTTCAAAACTAGTGAAGGTTTTACTGCCAAACAATTTAGACTGTTATGAAGATCTTATTGTCTATGCTATATCATTTATGGCAATTAATCTCAGGGATGCAGTGTCCATATTTTCACGAATAACAGATATGAGACAGGAGCTCCTTGCTAAGTTAAATAGGTGTTGTGTTAACTACTTTAATGCAGCTGCATTATTTCTCAGTAGGATTACGGTTAGTGTTTGGACAGTGGGCAATGTAGTACCAGTGCATGCCAATAAGTTGTTTGAAAAGTTCAAAACAGGATTGGGTTTAAACACCATGCAGGGACGGGAGGCAAAACACCAACGATTGGGGGAATACTCTAAAAATACCACATATCAGCACAGATAACAACAAATTTTCAGACATGAATATATCGCATTAGTTTGGATGAGGGAACAAAACCCTTGTAAGACCACATTTAAGTATGTGCCTGAACGATGTAATACGGATGATTTTTGTCACTGTGGCCTTTCTAAAGATGTGTTAATGGATGAATGTGAAATATGTTCTTCTAAGGTTGTTACATTTATCAAAGAAAGTGTTGGAAAGAGAAAAGTCTGTGCAAGTTTGCACAAGTATTTGAAAAAATGATGTTATATACCTTTTTAACATAATGTATTATATTTTATATATGCAGTTATTTATGTAAATTTACACTATTTATAAAATAATGTTGGAAAGTGTAATTAATTAATTTGTGCATATTTTTTGACTATTTTAGTTACATGCACACTTGAAAATTTGTTAATAAAAGAAGAGTTGTGAATGACTATGGAATGTGTGTATGCAATGTGTATAGAAAATAATGACCACTGAGAGGGGCATTTACAGACAATAATTGATAACATTTCAGTTATAAAAGGTGTTCAATTGTTAGAATAACTCAACAAAACAACATCAAAAGTTGTCTTTATTGTACCCTCATTTATAAAACATTGATCTAAAACTGTGGTACCCCATGAGTGTTCCAAAATCCATAGTGGCATTGCACTTTAAGTTGTTCAATTTTTACTTTGTAGGAAAGTTTGAATGGTTTTTCCTGAGATACAATAGCTCTAGCTTCCCCCATGTTCGCAATAGTTTTGATCAAATCTTTGTGGATACCAGCAGCTTGTTTAAATATATAAATAACTTTTCTCATGTTGGTAAATTCGACAACGTGCTCTACTGTTGTTTTAATTGTTGTAGTTGCAAAACAAGTATTCGCTGTGCATATACGCACAATATGTTCAAAAATTTTACACGGCAAATCTCTTACAAGAACTATTTTCCATCCTGTTTTGACAAGAGCTTTCTTCCTCAGCCTCCTCATTATCTGAGAATGCCAAATAGATATTTCACGAATCGCAAGCGGGTGTATTTCTACCAGATGATGCTCCAACTTTTCGAATTCGTCGTCGGCATTCACTTCTTTGCAAAGTTTACCTGCTATCTTAGCCAGATTCTCGAACATTTTCATGTATTCCACATATTTTGGACTTCTTATCCCAAAGCGTTTCAGGTATTTTTCTTTACCGCTTGATACTACTTCCCTAACGAACAAACTTAGATCATTGTCACTAGGAGTACAAGCCGCCATCTTGTTTTTAATTTCGTGCTCTTGCCAAAGTGATGAACCTAGCCTCGCTTTCGTGCGCGAGCGTTTTCACGCTAAAAAATCCCCAACGTGCAAAACCAATGTGGCGGACTTACCGAATTTATAGCAATGTGGGAGCTTAAGTATTTATTTAGCTATTTAAAAAACTTAGCAGAAGAACCAGAAATTATATCTCGACTGAAAAAAGCTCAGAGTTTAGTGGAAGATGTAAGTATCTTATATCAAACATTTTTGACAGCGACCGCGGAAGATTGTTAATTGGGGGGGGGGCGAGACTATAAATATTCATATATTCACGTTAAGCATTACTATTTTTTTCAAAATGATTGTTTTTGCGGTCTATTAACACCAATATATGAGCGTCTGCTCTTTTAGACAGTACGAACGAATGGTTCGTAAATATGGATCGCGGTCTTTTTAATATTGCGGTATTCCTTGATGTACAAAAGGCTTTCGACACGATAAATCATGATATATTATTGAAGAAACTTGGTTTATATGGCTTAGAAAAGCCAGCCTTAAACCTTCTAAAATCCTACCTAGCAAAAAGAACCCAAATGTGCTCTGTAAATGGGGTAATTTCTCATAAAAATACTGTTACATGTGGAATTCCTCAAGGCTCAATTCTTGGTCCGCTTCTTTTCCTAATCTATATAAATGATTTACCTAACAGTTTGCAGTACTCATCAACAAGAATGTTTCCAGACGATACGACCATAACTGTTTCTGGTAAATCAATTTCTGATGTAGAAGTGGCCATCAATTGTGACCTTGCTAACGTCAAGCGGTGGCTCTCTGTTAACAAATTATCCTTAAATCTTATAAAAACTGAATACTTATTAATTGGATCACGGCATAACGTCAATAATCTATCTGCCGCTCCAAATGTATTTGTTGGCGATGTGCCAATTAAAAGAGTAAGAGAAACAAAATCACTCGGAGTCTTGATTGAAAAGTTTTTATAATGGATAAACATATTGACAAAATTGCTAAAAAGGTCTAATCCGGAATTGGAGCAATCAGAAAGCTTAAGTCTTGTGTGGATCGAGATACATTAATTAGTGCCTATAATGCACTCATATTACCACACTTTGACTATTGCTGCGAAGTTTGGGAAACTATTGGTACCACCCTTGCTGATCGTCTCCAAAAATTACAAAATAGGGCTGCTAGAGTGATTACAGGTCGTAAAAATGAACACGGCCAATCTGAACTTGCGTTAAATGAACTAAAATTGACTACTTTGAAAAAACGTAGAATTCAATTTTCAGCAAGTCTCATGTATAAAATAACGCATGAAATAGCGCCCAAGCAATTAACCGATCTTTTTCATAAGACGCCTTCCTCTCAGCATTATAATATACGAGGTTCTACCATGCAGCTCCAATTGCCTAAACCTAAGACAGAATATCTTAAGAAAAGTCTTAGTTATACAGGAGCAAAGTTGTGGAATAGCCTTCCAGATGAAGTACGAAATATACAATCATTTAATTTATTTAACTCAAGTGTGCGACACCTGGCCAGTAGACTCAACTAATTTAGTAATATATGTGTTAATTAATAATTTGTAACTAGTAGATGTAAGTGTAATGTGTCATTGTAACTTTTCGTTTATATCTGTAATCTCTGTTGTAAGCTAATTATTTGTAACATTTTTTAACCTACGCCCCCCTTGGAAACCAGCCTTTGCTGTAGGGGTTAGCGTAGTCAAATAAAGTTTTTACTTACTTATTTACTTACTTATTTCAATGAAAAATCGTTTGCGCATGCGCGGCAACGATTTTTTCTATGTTTTTGTGCACTGCGACATTCGGGAAGCCCAAAAACATTTAAATCTTTAGGTTAGCAGCATTATTTCGATGAAAAATGGTTTGCGCATGCGCGGCAACGATTTTTTCAATGTTTTTGTGCACCGCAACTTTCGAGATGCCCAAAAACTGTTAAATCCTTAGGGTACCAGCATTATTTCGATGAAAAATATTTTGCGCATGTGCAGCAACGATTTTTTCAATTTTTTTGTGCAACGCGACCCTCGGAATGCCCAAAAACAGTTAAATCTTTAGGGTAGCAGCATTATTTCGGTGAAAAATCGTTTGCGCATGCGCGGTAAACATTTTTTCAATGTTTTTGTGCACCGCGACATTCGAGATGCCCAAAAACAGTTAAATCTTTAGGGTAGCGGAATTATTTCGATGAAAAATCGTTTGCGCATGCGCGGCAAAGATTTTTTTAATGTTTTTGTGCACCACGATCTTCGGGATGCCCTAAAACTGTTAAATCATGAGGGTAGCACCATTATTTTGATTAAAAATCGTTTGCGCATGCGCGGCAACGATTTTTTTAAAGGTTTTTTTGCACGGCGACATTCGGGATGCCCAAAAAGAGTTTAATCTTAACGGTAGCAGCATTATTTTAATGAAAAATCGTTTGCGCATGCGCCGCAACGATTTTTTCAATGTTTTTGTGCACCGCAACTTTCGAGATGCCCAAAAACTGTTAAATCTTTAGGGTACCAGCATTATTTCGATGAAAAATATTTTGCGCATGTGCAGCAACGATTTTTTCAATGTTTTTGTGCAACGCGACCCTCGGAATGCCCAAAAACAGTTAAATCTTTAGGATAGCAGCATTATTTCGGTGAAAAATCGTTTGCGCATGCGCGGTAAACATTTTTTCAATGTTTTGTGCACCGCGACATTCGAGATGCCTAAAAACAGTTAAATCTTTAGGGTAGCGGAATTATTTCGATGAAAAATCGTTTGCGCATGCGCGGCAAAGATTTTTTAATGTTTTTGTGCACCACGATCTTCGGGATGCCCTAAAACTGTTAAATCATGAGGGTAGCACCATTATTTTGATTAAAAATCGTTTGCGCATGCGCGGCAACGATTTTTTTAAAGGTTTTTTTGCACGGCGACATTCGGGATGCCCAAAAAGAGTTTAATCTTAACGGTAGCAGCATTATTTTAATGAAAAATCGTTTGCGCATGCGCCGCAACGATTTTTTCAATGTTTTTGTGCACCGCAACTTTCGAGATGCCCAAAAACTGTTAAATCTTTAGGGTACCAGCATTATTTCGATGAAAAATATTTTGCGCATGTGCAGCAACGATTTTTTCAATGTTTTTGTGCAACGCGACCCTCGGAATGCCCAAAAACAGTTAAATCTTTAGGATAGCAGCATTATTCGGTGAAAAATCGTTTGCGCATGCGCGGTAAACATTTTTTCAATGTTTTTGTGCACTGCGACATTCGAGATGCCTAAAAACAGTTAAATCTTAGGGTAGCGGAATTATTTCGATGAAAAATCGTTTGCGCATGCGCGGCAAAGATTTTTTTATTGTTTTTGTGCACCACGATCTTCGGGATGCCCTAAAACTGTAAAATCATGAGGGTAGCACCATTATTTTGATTAAAAATCGTTTGCGCATGCGCGGCAACGATTTTTTTAAAGGTTTTTTTGCACGGCGACATTCGGGATGCCCAAAAGAGTTTAATCTTAACGGTAGCAGCATTATTTTAATGAAAAATCGTTTGCGCATGCGCCGCAACGATTTTTTCAATGTTTTTGTGCACCGCAACTTTCGAGATGCCCAAAAACTGTTAAATCTTTAGGGTACCAGCATTATTTCGATGAAAAATATTTTGCGCATGTGCAGCAACGATTTTTTCAATGTTTTGTGCAACGCGACCCTCGGAATGCCCAAAAACAGTTAAATCTTTAGGATAGCAGCATTATTTCGGTGAAAAA